GGGCGGTCGGAAGCCGCCCGCCCCAGCAGCAGCGTTCCCGAACAACACTACGGTCATTTCTGGTCCATCTGGGGCCGGGTTTTTTTCGCCCTTTTCGATTGGATCGAATCGAATCGACCTATCGAAAGGACGTCGCAGTCGCAACGGCGGCCTGGAAATGGCACGTGTCCGACACGACTTGATGGACTGGAGGTGTCGCCGCCCGGCGCGCACCGATTCCGAGAGTCCTTGTCTCTCTCTCTCCCTCTCTCTCTCTCTCTCTCTCTCTCTCTCTCTCTCTCTCTCTCTCTCTCGCCCTCATCGGGGCGTGCCCTGCAGGTGCGAGAGAGAGAGAGAGAGAGAGAGAGAGAGAGAGAGAGAGAGAGAGAGAGGGACGAGGACGACGAAAACGACTCTCGGAATCGGCCTGCAGTCGTCATTTCCGAAAGCAAAAACGAAAGCGCGAAAACGCGGATGCGGACGCGGACGTCACGTTGTATCGAAATAATGCATCATCGGCCGCGCGTCGCTCACTCATTGGCGATCGTGATCGGGGGTGTCACAACACACACACACGTGTGTGTGTGTGTGTGTATGTGTGTGTGTGTGTGTGTGTGTGTGTACATGCCGGCTGCTCTTTCATCCTCCACCGGAAGTCCAAGTGCGCGTCGGGCGTGCGCCGCCACTCGGGGGAAGGGAAGGGGAGGGGGGGCGATCGCACATCAAAAGTGACACACACGTCGTATCGTCTCTTTATTTTTGTTTTCTCGCGCCATAAATTTAAACTACAATGTACGTACCACTTCGGGCGGTGAAAACGGTGGTACAGAGCAGTGGTGTTTTCCCCAAAAAGTTTATAGGCCATGCGGTGTTGTGGGTTCGCCTTCCTCCCAGGTGCCTCGTGTGAAATGAAACAGAGAGGAGACAGGTGTACAGATTATTAGAGCCACTTTTAGAACTTAAGGATTTCGCATGGGTAAGTGGCCCTGAATACAACTGGACATGGTGTGTTCGTTACATTCATATTTGTTGTATGTTTTTTTGTTGTGAAAAGGGTTTTTCGGCCCTGAAAGCGTAATAGGCAACTTAAACAAGAAATGCACAAGGACGGTCGAAAACCCTTCTGGAATGTCTGTCTGTCTGTCTGTCTGTCTGGCTGGCTGGCTGTCTGTCTGCCCCTCGCGCTTCGCCACGGCCGTGGCGGTACGGTCCAGCGACCTCGCCGCCGACGCAGGCCGAGCGGCACCGTGCGGCCGGCGAGGCTATGGGCGAGGCCTGGAACTCATCAGATGTGATTGACAAGGGGCTCTTCCTGTGCTCCCCTCCCCTCCCTCCCCTCCAGCGGCCTGCACTCGATGGCCAAGACGTTCTGCAGAGGGACGTGACTTTTGTGCGTCCCGGCCGCGCAGTCCCGAAGGCCCGAAGGCCGAACATGGAGATGGAATTGAATCGTGGGAAAGGTATAGTGCACTCTGCAGACGGCTGTCGCTTTCTCTCTCGCTCACCCTCGCGGGGCGTCACGTAGGGGTGAGAGCGAGAGAGACAGAGCGACGGTGCTGGGACGGAGGCTGCGGCGGGCTGCCGGGGAGGAATCCGCAAACTAGGCGTCTTGCGCGGCGCTGTTTGAGTTGAGCTAGGAGTGACCCTTGGGGCTAGCCTCGCGGCAGTCTCGTGCCAATTCATTACGTTTTATGCTAATAAAATGCCGTCAGGGACGCGAAGCCATCGCTGGAACGCCCCCGCTGGAACGCCCTCCGCTGGAACGCCCTCCGCTGGAACGCCCTCCGCTGGAACGCCCTCCGCTGGAACGCCCTCCGCTGGAACGCCCTCCGCTGGAACGCCCTCCGCTGGAACGCCCTCCACTGGAACGCCCTCCGCTGGAACGCCCTCCGCTGGAACGCCCTCCGCTGGAACGCCCTCTGCTGGAACGCCCTCCGCTGGAACGCCCTCCGCTGGAACGCCCTCCCCTGGAACGCCCTCCGCTGGAACGCCCTCCGCTGGAACGCCCTCCCCTGGAACGCCCTCCGCTGGAACGCCCTCCGCTGGAACGCACTCCGCTGGAACGCCCTCCCCTGGAACGCCCTCCGCTGGAACGCCCTCCGCTGGAACGCCCTCCCCTGGAACGCCCTCCCCTGGAACGCCCTCCGCTGGAACGAAAAGGGGCCCGGCCACACCGTGCTTATGCGTTGTGGTGTATGCGCCGCCAAAAGGCAGTCAGACTGGCAGGCAGGCAGGCAGGCAGACAGGCTGACTGGGGCTCCAAAGCGCTGCTCCCCTCGCCAAGCCCCAGTGATTAAGGGCGCCAAAATGAGATGGATGTTCACGTTGCCTGCCTGCCTGCCTGCCTTCCGTGTTAAGAGAGTTGCATTTTTTTTTATTCCCCGCTCTCTTTCTCTGTCTTTCTCTCTCCCGCCTGCCTCTTTCATTTCGACTTACTCTGCGGCCTTTTTCGCCTCTCTTTCTCTCTCTCTCTCTCTCTCTCTCTCTCTCTCTCTCTCTCTCTCTCTCTCTCTCTCTCTCTCTCTCTCTCGACATTAAATAGAGGCAAAAGGCCGCGTGAGGCTGGCTGTGCAGGCCGTGGACTGTCTGGCTGGTCTGCCTAGGCCGTCGCCGTTGAGGGGGCGGGAGGGACTTTGACGGTCCAGAGGATGTGTGTGTCTGTGCGTGTGTGTGTGTGTGTGTGTATGTGTGTGTGCGTGTGTGTGCGTGTGCGTGTGCGCGTGCGGGGGCCAGGGGGAAAGTAAGCCCAGCCATAAGTCAGTGCCCGATATTGTTTACCTTGTTGGCCAATGGCAGCCTGGTGGCAGCCTGGCGGTGCCCTGGTGGCAGCCTGGTGGCAGGGTAGCGTGGCCACGGGCTTGCCATGGCTCCACCAACGCGGTGATATATTTTGAGCAGATAAATTATTTTTTCTTGCCCCGTCTACCCCGCGCGAGCGCGCGCCCCTATGTATGTGTGTGTGTGAGCGAGAGAGAGAGAGAGAGAGAGAGAGAGAGAGAGCGCCATGCCAGGGGCGGCAGTGCCTCTCATCCCCCCCCCTCTCCCCCGCACCGGTCGTGCCGCTACACCCGCTGTGCAATGCGTCACTTGCGCCTCGGGAAACCTTCCACTGCATTAAGCATTTCCACAGTTTACGGCCGATGGGTGACGGCAATACCCCTCCCCCACCCCTCCCCCCTCCCGCCCCCCTTTCATCGGTGATTCGCCTGATGGCCGCGCTCGCCAGTCGGTCACTCATGAGCTGCAACACGGCGTTGCATTGCGTTGCCCTGCACTGCCTCGCTTTGCCTGGCTCTGCCGCGGTTGCAACGGTTGCAGTCGTTGCAATCCGCTGCAGTGCAATCGGAGCGCATCATTTGGCGGCCGGCGCGGCGCTCGCCCCGAACTACGTCGCGCTGTCTCTCTCGCGCCCCCGTGGAGCGCGAGGGAGACGGAGCGACGAAAAAGCCCCGCACAGTGGGCCAGAAGCCGGTGGAGGCGGCCAAAACCCTAGACGCGTTTTGAGCTCCAGAGTCGCTAAATGGGACTCGAACCGAACGTGTGACCCCACCAATGGATTGCTCTCCGAACGAGGAATCCATTGGTGGGGTCACACGTTCGGTTCGAGTCCCATTTAGCGACTCTGGAGCTCAAAAACGCGTCCAGAGTTTTGGCCGCCTCCACCGGCTTCTGGCCCACTGTGCCCCGTTCGGATTGGCCGCGTCCGCCACCTGGCGGGCCCCGGCGGCCCCGGCGGCCTCGGCCTAGCCTCGCGCGGTCGGCCGGTCAAAAGTAACGCCAACAGGAGCATCGGGCTGGCCGAGGCCTGAGGTGCAGACGGCAGGAAAAGCGCGGGGAAAGCTGCGGGAAATCCGTTCAGGGCAGACGAAACAGGTAAAGGAGGCCGATGCGGAAAAGCTGCAGGCTGTGATTGGGGCAGCGGAAAACAAAACAATCTCCAGCATTCTCGCTCACTGTTTGATCGAAACTTTTTCAAGCAAGCTCGATTACGAGTCCTCAGCAAAGTGCTCAGCCCTGTGATAACATTTTCACTCCATAAGTAATTGTTGGAACTAAATAGTTTACATATTTGCAAAGGAAATCTCAAGGGAATGCTTGCATACTTTCTGAACGCTAAGAGCGCTAAGAACGCTGAGAGTGCAGGACCGACGCACCGAGGCACCGGCATGATCTAAAATGAATTTGGAACAAGTCTTGCGGGGAGGGACGAGCTGGAAGCATCATTTGGACGCTGTACCGCGCGACAGCGAGAGCCCTCTAGCGGCGAAGCCAGCAACCCAGTCGCCGCTCCACGCCGACAGGCCGACAGGGGAGACGAGGAGGGGTGCCTAGGGGCGCGCTGGAAGCACGGGGTGGTCTCATTGTCCTTCACCCAGAGAGCTCCTTGGAGAATCTTCAAGTGCTTTGACCACCACAGAATCGGCCGCTGTTTCCATCGTCTTGACTCATGGACACCGAGGAAGCCCCTCCTCTAACCTTCTCAAGGGCGAATCTGTGCATACCTAGCATGCAGTTCTTTGTATAAAAAAATACATTTGTAAAAAAAATAAACGAATTAAAATGAAATTTTTGCAAAATGTTGAGTCGAGCACTTCTTCGATCCCGGCCAGGGATCCTTAACTTACCTCATTAGGGCATCATAACGTTATCATAACAGTTAAAGTTATTACCCTTAACTTCTAACATCTTTTCAAAAGGGTAGGTTATTTTTTTATGTCTCGAATTTGTGTGGATATACTTTTGCAAGTACTTTCATAAGTCCGTACCCTTAACCTTTAGCGAACATTGTCTTATGTTACGTTATGAAAGCAGTGTTAGTTAAATGTTAAGTTAAGTTAAGGATCCCTGATCCCGTCATCACCCACTCTTTCACAAACCCTCCAAACTAGCGTAGCCGAGCCTCGCTGCAATGACATACAGCGACGGCCAGGTAAGCGCGTCGCCTGCTCCCGGCATGCCGCGGCACTGTGAGGACAGGGGGCTAATTTCCCTTGTGTCCATGCCGGCCCCTTATCTGCGATCCGAGGCTCGTCTCGTTATCGGAAGTCGCGGCCCGATCGCGCGCCTCTCCAAGTCGCCAGCGAGCTCGGCCCGTCACGAGTATTCGTCGGTCGTCCGCGGCACCGACACCTCCGGACCGCCAAGCCGCCAAGCGGGGACCCAAATTCAGGTTTGTTGGAAAACCGCGAAACGCCCCGTCAGGTTTCCTTTTTGTCGTTTTTCTTTTTCGGCTTTTGTCAGCTCTTGTATTCCTTCGCATTGCGAGGTCGACGCAAAACCACCCCTCTTTTCAAGGACCACACACACAAAAATTTGGCGCCCACTTTCGCGTGCGAGTTTGTCGATTATTTTCACAGTGCACGCACTTGCGCGTCCTTCTCAATTTGCGCTTTCGCACCGTTCGGTAATAACCAATAGGTATCGTTGAGGCGCGCCTTATCAGCGCGCGCGGCTTTCGATAGTACTGGCTGATACGTCACCTGAAGGCACGTGAGCGAAGAAATGAGTGAATGCTGCGCCTCCCAGAAAAAAAAACAACATGTCACTAACGGAAGTTGTTTTTGTTTTTGAAAATGGTCCAGGATGGGGGCGATGTTCCGGTCGGAGGAGATGGCCTTGTGCCAGCTCTTCATCCAACCCGAGGCCGCGTACTCGTCCGTGTCCACCCTGGGCGAGATGGGCATCGCCCAGTTCCGCGACGTGAGTCCCACTTCATCTCTTACTTACCACTTACTTCACCACTTACTTCACAACTTGCTTCACAACTTACTTCACTACTTGCTTCACCTCTTACTTCACTACTTGCTTCACTTCTTACTTCACCAACTTCATCATGTACTCACCAACTTCATCATGTACTTCACCAACTTCACCATATGTGCTTCACCGCTTACTCCCCAACTTCGCCACTTACTTCACCACGTGCTTCACTCTCATCGCCACTTACTTCACCACTTGCTTCCCACTTACTTCACCGCGCCTTCCGTGCAGATGAACCCGCGCGTGAACCCCTTCATGCGCAAGTTCGTGAGCGAGGTGCGGCGCTGCGACGAGCTGGAGCGCAAGCTGCGCTTCATCGAGGAGGAGCTCAAGAAGGACGACGTCAAGGTGCCGGAGCCCGTGCAGCAGCCCAACGCGCCCAACCCCAGGGAGATCATCGACCTGGAGGTGAGGAGTAGAGAGTAGGCACAGAGACGGAGTCCAAAAAAGAATTGGTTTTGGAGCAACGTTTGCGATTATTCGAGGTAAACTGCATTAGAGGACCATTCTCGTCTGCTATTCGGATTAAGAGGTGTCTCCTGCAGAGGTGCAAGGAGGTGACGCGAGTAACCGTGCGAACCCTGTGAATGCTGACCTCAGGCCCACTTGGAGAAGACGGAGACCGAGATGCTGGAGCTGAGCCAGAACGGAGTCAACCTGCGGTCCAACTTCAAGGAGCTCAAGGAGATGACCTACGTCCTGGAGAAGGCGCAGACCTTCATGGACGAGGTAAGGCGGTACGCCCAGTGCCGCCGTGCTGTGGGTGCCTTTGAAAACACTATATGAGTTACAAAAATTCTGCTATGCTCTCTTTTTTTTTCTATCAATTACTGTACAAAGTCGCCCATGATTCTTCAAGGGCACGCCGTGTCTCAAGTAGGCAAAGAGCCGTTACTTTCCCTTGTTCCCTATTTTGGAGTCGTTCGATGATTGTGGACCGCACACGCTAAATGCTTATGGACTCTATGTCCATAACTATGACCGTTTTTGGGCATACTGAAGTTATGTACAAATTTGTACATAAATTAGGTACAATTTTTTAAATACTTATGCTTAATATACGGTTATATTGTACCTTCCGTAGGCACAAAAACGGCTATAGCTGTGGACAATAAAAGTACATAAACAATTAGTGTGTAAGCGTTTACTTGTGGGTGACAAAAGACTTAATTTTAGTGGGAAAAGGTGAAGTTTCGGGTCCCCACTGCCTGTTTCCCCGAGGCTGTTGGACCGTCCTGGGACTGCTGGAGGCAAGGCTGGTGGCGAGCCTGCTGGAAGTCTGGCAGCCTTGCATCGCTTTCGCCTCTCTGTCTCTCTCTCTCACTCACGGGGCGTTACGTGCCGCACTGTAAAAAACGAGGGGGTAAACACTTCAAGAAATCGTGTACAGACTACTCGGTATTACGCTGTATTACGGAGGTATTACACGTGTATTACGGCCTTAAAATGCAAAAATTTGGCACATTTGACCCGTAAAAGGTATTACGACCACGTGTATTACGCGTAATACACGGTTTTTGTGTACAGGGTATTACGCGAGTGGTTACCCCCTCGGTAAAAAATTCCGTACTTTTGTACGGAAATGGTACAGAAAAATATAGTACGGAGGTACGGAGAAAAGTACGGAACGTTCCGTACTAGCTCCATATAAACCCATGTAAATAGGTACGGAAAATAGGTACGGAACGTTCCGTAGTTTGGAAGTACGGACGGTCCAGGCAAATTATTGACCAGACATGTTCCGTACCCTTTCCGTACTTTTTTCTCACAGTGCGGTGCGTGCGCGAGAGACAGAGAAGAGAGACGGTGTGCGGGAATCAGTCTGGAAGCTCCAGGCTGGATCCAGGGCGGTCCCCCCGCCTCGGCTCCAGACGGACTTACGTCCAGCGTAGGGATGTGATCTGTTCACAGCAGCGACGCCATTTGTGTTTCAGCAAGAGGAGTCCGACTCCAACCGAGCGCTCATTGGCGCCGACGAGCGCGGCCGCCTGGGGTACGTCGCCAACGGCGCCTACACTGCCCGCACTCACTCCGGCCTCCATGGATCTTGTACATAGCCCGCTGTGACATATTGCATAAAAAAAGAGAGAGAAAGAGAGAAAGAAAAAAAGTCGCACGGCTTGTTGTATACAGGGCATGTCTGTCTGTTGGGGCTGCGACGCGGGTCACACATTTGGGTGCGCACAAGACAAGTCTCAAACATTTCTGTTTTCGTTCGACTATTGTTTTTTTTTTTTGTAAATATTTCCCGGATCAGATCGTGTAAATACCGTTTTGAGCTTGCCTTGTGCGGCGGTTCGACTCGGAGTGGGAATGGGGTGCGCCGCCCTCGCCGTGCTTCGAGTCGAACCGCATCATTGTACATTTGAATTTTGTTTCTAGCTGTCAGGGCCGCATCCCGCGGGAGCTGGGGGTTGCTGGCCTGGATGGGTGCAACTTTTTTTTAACTTGCTTTGCTTGCCGAGAAACTTTTATTTTTTTTCTGGCTGTCGTGTCCGGGTGCTCTTCAGGATTTTTTTTTCGTTTTAGATTTCTTTTGATATAGATCATCGGGCTCGTCATCGGGGCTTTTCACTCCACTCACAATTCATTTTTTTTTTTCACAGCCATTTTTCGCGAGGTAGGTGTGCTTCCTCACTCGCTATAACATTTTGTACATAGCTTCAGTTATGTAGTTAGCTATAGTTGACAATGTCCTGACAGCATTGCCCAGAAAAAGGAATCAGGTACGTACCCCCATCACCACGCTCCTCACTGCGACCACATTGCACCCAGAGTGCCCCCAACAAACTCCCGGGGATGCCCGACTTTCCACTTCCAGCAGACTAAATTAGGGTCCCAATTCAAGGCAAAGGGGAAAAAAATTAACTTTTTGACCCAGTCAATCGACCACGCCGCCTGTAGCAAGGCCAGTGAGGCCTCCCCTGGCTACGCGGAGCTACGCGGAGAAGTGGAGGCCAATTTGCAGACTAACCCCCTCCCTCCGCTTCCCCCAGGTTCATCGCGGGAGTGATCCCCAGGGAGAAGGTGAACGGCTTCGAGCGCATGCTGTGGCGCGTGTCTAGGGGCAACGTGTTCCTGCGGCAGGCCGAGATTGACCAGCCCCTGGAGGACCCGGCCACGGTGAGCGCCCTCTCTCGCACCACCCGACAAAATTTTCCAAAAATTTTTTAAAAAAATTCAAAAACTTAAATAATTTAAAACAAAAATTAAAAAATTTAAAAAAATCAAAATTTTTTAAAAAATTAAAAAATTAAAAAAAAATTAAAAAAATTAAAATAAAAAATTTATAAAACTTTTTAAAATTTATAACATTTTTTTAAATTTACCGAACTTGTTATGCTTTGGTGCTCAGGGCCAGCAGATCCGCAAGAACGCCTTCGTGGCGTTCTTCCAGGGCGAGCAGCTCAAGTCGCGCCTCAAGAAGATCTGCACCGGCTACCACGCGTCCCTGTACACGTGCCCGTCCTCGCTGTCAGAGAGGGAGGCCGTCATCAAGGAGCTGCGCGTGCGCGTCGAGGACCTCAACGTGGTGCTGAGCCAGACCATGGACCACCGGCAGCGCGTCCTGGCCGCCGTGGCCAAGCAGGTCCGCACCTGGGCCGTCATGGTGCGCAAGATGAAGGCCATCTACCACACCCTCAACATGTTCAACATGGACGTCACCAACAAGTGCCTCATCGGCGAGTGCTGGGTTCCGCGCTCCGAGCTCAACCGCGTGCGCGGCGCCCTGGAGGCCGGGGGCGTAAGTACCGATCTCTCTCTCTCTCTCTCCCCCCCCCCCCCCCAATGTAACCCGGCTCTACTGGTTGCAGAAATCCGTGGGCAGCACCATCGACTCGTTCGTCAACATCCTCATAACGAACGACACCCCGCCCACCTTCATCCGCACCAACAAGTTCACCCAGGGCTTCCAGACCCTCATCGACTCGTACGCCGTCGGCGCCTACCGTGAAGTCAACCCAGGTTTGTGGCTGGCTGTGGTGGTTGCTGCCTGTTTCATTCGTCCTCCCCTTTTCAAGGCTCTCATGTAGGCATTTGGCGTTTCCACAGCCGCCTTCACGGTCATCACGTTCCCCTTCCTCTTCTCCGTCATGTTCGGCGACCTGGGCCACGGCATCATCGTGGCGCTCTTCGGGGCCTACATGTGCTTCTTCGAGAAGTCGCTCACGGGCAAGAAGTGGGGAGAGGTGGGCCTCGTCACGCCGCTTTCAGCAATTTGCGTTTCAGTCTCACTTGAGGGGCGTGGAAAGTAAAGTCATAAAAAGACATCGGGTGCAACTGCTGCCCTGGTAACACAAAGGGCGAATGTTATGCCCTAGGCGTGAAACGTTTTCGGCATTAAAGGCTCCAAAGGACGTCAAATTTCTGCCTCTGTGTTACCATTCCAATAACTATTCGAACCACGACACTTTCAGATCTGGGACATCTTCTTCGGCGGCCGCTACATCATCCTCCTCATGGGCATCTTCTCCATCTACTCCGGCATCTTGTACAACGACATCTTCTCGCTGTCCTTCAACATCTTCGGGTCCGGGTGGCACACCCAGTACAACATGTCCACCCTCGACAACAACCCCAAGCTGACCCTGAGCGCCGCGGAGGACGGCGTGTACTCCGGGCCGTACTTCATGGGGCTGGACCCCGCCTGGCAGGTCGGCGTCGCATTCAAGGATCCGAGCCACCACCATCCACGTGCAGCCCATGAATGGTTAAAAAATTAATGAGTATCATTTGGACTTACAGACGGCTGAGAACAAAATCATTTTCCTGAACTCCTTCAAGATGAAGTTCTCCGTCATCGTCGCCATCATCCACATGACGTTCGGCATCTGTCTCAGTGTGTGCAACTTCGTGTAAGACCAGTGCTTCCAAGAACAACAAAAAAATTTGGTGTCGCCTACGAGTTGTCTGAATGTCTCGTGTAATCGGCTGCCTCCTTTCCTGCAGCCACATGAAGAATAAGATGAACATCTTGCTGGACTTCCTGCCCCAGGTCATGTTCCTCATGTTCTTCTTCGGCTACTTGGGCTTCCTGATCATCCTCAAGTTCTTCCTCTACGAGTCCAGTACGTGCCAGTGCATGTCGCTCCAGAGACAGTGAACAGTGGGCCAGAAGACCGGCGCAGGCGGCCACAACTCTCGACGCGTTTTTGGCTGCAGAGTCGCTAAATGGGACTCGAACCGAACGCGTGACCCCACCAATGGATTGCTCTCCGAACGGGGAATCGACTGGTGGGGTCACGCGTTCGGTTCGAGTCCCATTCAGCGGCTCTGGAGCTCAAAACGCGTCTAGAGTTTTGGCCGCCTGCGCCAGTCTTCTGGCCCACTGTGCAGTGCAAGGAAAGAGCCGCTGATCACTCCCCTGTGCTGCCATGCTGCTGCAGACCTGCAGCGCGACCCCGCCGAGACGGCCGTGTCGTCCAGGTGCGCGCCGTCCGTGCTCATCAGCTTCATCAACATGGTGCTGCTGAGCGAGAACCCGGAGGTGGTGGGCTGCAGCAGCCCCTACCTGTTCGCCGGCCAGCACGGCCTGCAGACCGCCTTCGTGCTCATCGCGCTGCTCTGCATCCCCGTGCTGCTGCTGGCCAAGCCGCTGTACATCTACATGAAGCGGAGGAAGCCCGCGCTGCGCGCCACCAAGGTGGGTCCCGCCGAGCACGGCCCGGCCCGGGCGAGGGCCCGGCCCCGCTCCGCCGAGCATACTCACGCCAGTTGACGCAGTTTAAATTTCCCCGTTTTCGGAGACTCACGGAGGAGGAGATTCCTCTGCTTCAGTCCAACGGGCACGCGACGCAGGCCGGCCCCCGCGCGTCCAGCGGCGACGCCGAGGCCCTGCAGCCCCAGCCGCAGCAGAGCCAGGGCGGCGGCGGACACGGACACGAGGAGGACGAGCCCTTCAGCGAGATCATGGTGCACCAGGCCATCCACACCGTGGAGTACGTGCTGTCCACCGTGTCGCACACCGCCTCCTACCTGCGTCTCTGGGCGCTGTCGCTGGCGCACGCGCGTGAGTACCCAGCGACCCCCGCACACCAGAAGACCGACGCCGGCGGCGCGCCCAAAGTTCCAGACGCGCTTTCAGCTCCAGAGTCGCAAACCAGGACTCGAACCGAACGTGCGACGCCACCAATGGACTGCTCTTCGAACGAGGTATCTATTGATGGGGTCGGGGTCACTCGTTTGGTTCGAGTCGTGTTTTGCTACTCTGGAGCTCAAAACGCGTCTTGGCCGCCTGCGCCGGTCTTCTGGCCCACTGCGGAGCAGTGACAGCTTGGTAAGCTCAGCTCTCCTCACCTCGAGGAATAGGGTATTTCGGAGCAGGCCTGGCCCGGAAGAAGAAGAACAAAAACGGAAGTTAGAAATGGCAGTTTCTATGAGAAATATACGCTGCAGATGAGGGTCCGCAGCGTATATTTCTCATAGAAACTGCCATTTCTAACTTCCGTTTTTGTTCTTCTTCTTCCGGGCCAGGGCTGCTCCAGGGCAGGCTCACATCTCGACAAGCGACGATCATCTGGGGATCAAAACGAGCGGGAACATTCAAGTAGTGTTCTTGTAATTAAGCATCGGGATGATTATTTCGTGACTTTAAATGGCGTTTTGTTGCTCAGAGGGAATACTAACGTTCGCAAGCACGCGTACAAGCTGCCTAGGAGCGTCAAAATTGCTTCAAAACAATTTCCCCTTAATGAAAGTGGGGCCCGCAGTAGCAGCGTCCGCTACCAAGGCGCCCATAACCTCCAACCACATCGCTTTTATTTTTTCATGCGAAACGTTATTATAATTTCAGTGAATACGCATCCTAGGTAGACGTTCATGCTAAGAAATACAAGGCAAGTGCATAAATCGATCCAAATGCCCGATAAACAGCAGAAAAGAAGTCAAAATTCAAGCTTCCCGCGAGAATGATCCCCAGATGGAAGGGAACGTTGTTGGTCCCATCACCGCTAGTGACTCGCAGAAGCTGTTGTGAGCCTGCCCTATCGACAACGGACAGAAGCGACGTGTGGGCCCGCGGCTACCCCGCGCTCGAGAGGCGAGGGGTAGCGCCACAAGGTGTAGCGCCAGCGCCGGCCGCAGTGCAGTGTGTCTCCCCGGAGGGTAGCTCCGGGTCACGCCGTCTCTCATTTTCAGAGCTCTCCGACGTGCTGTGGACCATGATCTTCAGGAGGGTCATCAAGATCGCGACGAGCATGTCGACGCAGCCGGACAGCAAGTACGTGGCGCCGCTGCACCAAGCATGCAGCCCTATCGGAAATGAGACTCATTTCGTTGGTGCGCTTTTTCTTGCAGCACCCTGACTCTGGGCAACCTGTACGGCGGCATCGCGGTGTACATCGTGTTCACGGTGTGGGTGTTCTTCACCGTGGCCGTGCTTGTGCTCATGGAGGGCTTGTCCGCCTTCCTCCACACGCTTCGACTCCACTGGTAAGGCATACGACATACTCTGGTTTTACAGTGCATAGTTCGTTTAAGGCCGAAATGGTCCTCGGCATTGTATCAGGAGTCATCATTGATATGAGACCTTCCTATAGGTCTGAGAAATAGAAGCCCGATGCCCAATGGCCTTTATCACATTTTTTGGTGTTAAAATGAAATTTTCCTTGACGCCTGACGCGGTGAACGATGGATTGCCTACCTTTCAGGCGTGTGTCCAAGTACCTTTTGTTTTTCGCTAGAAAAAGATTGTTTGCGGCTGAAATGATCCTCGGAATAGTGTCAAGAGTTATCGGAGAGTGCTCCAGCACAACATACTGCAGGGTGTGAAAATGACTTTTCCCCTGACACCAGTAAAGGTCTGGTGAGGTGAAGGCTGTGGGCGATGGGTTGCATACCTTTCCGGCGCAAGCTCGCTTGATTCCCGTTTTTCGCTAGAAATAGACTGTTGTGGGCCGAAATGGCCATCCAAATAGTGTGAGGAGTCATTAAAGAGTGCTTAAGCACAACACGCTCGAAATCATTAGTATTGTGACTGTATTTTTAATATTTTGACACTCTTTTGGTTGCAGGGTCGAGTTCATGAGCAAGTTCTACATGGGCACAGGATACGCATTCGAACCTTTCTCCTTCAAGCGGATCACTGTTGACAATGCTGAATAGAGTCAGTAGTGAAATGGTGGCCACCCCACTTAATTTTTCTTCAATTGCATAGAATTCGCTAGATCAATTCAAATGATTAATTTATACTTTTTCCAATGTGTTGTTTACCAAGGGAATTGAAAGTAAAACTCAAGTATTTAATATAAGTAGACTTTATTTTTCTTCTATGTGTGAATGAGCAAGTTCTACACCCTTATAAAAGAGAACAAAGTGTTGTTTCTTATGGTAATTCAGTATTAACTAAAGAGCTTTCATCAACAAGCACTTATGTTTCAATAAAACAAAATATACAGCACAAGTCAAGTAAATTAATTTCCCTTGCCACAGAATGCCTCCTTTGGTGTCAAGATAAAGCAATGCAATTCTCTTGGCCATAGGTCAATGAGTGGGAATAAAATGCTGTTCCAGTATGAAACAATTCACTCTTTAGTATGTTATAATTCCATTGTTAGGCAAAACTAACTTGGAAATGCAAGTATTTTGAACCATGTCAACAAGAGACAGTAAATCTTACAATACTATCTCAAAGATGCAGGCAAAGTCATATCACAAATTTTAAGGCCTATACAAACAATGTTTCATGCATCTGGTAAGAAAAGAACATAAGTTAATCTTATGATGACTGATATGAAACATACACCTAAATGACTCCCAACTAAAGTAAACACAGGCACTTCTCTTACTGTAAGATACACTATTTCTATTCACTATTGATGGAAAGAAATCTTGTTCCCAAAGGCTTTAATCAAGTTCTACACAGCTACCCAGTAACAAATGGTAACACATCAGTGAACCAACATCATAAGAAAATTAAAAGACATGCACTCTGCTTACATCACATGGCTAAGCAGACCAAGATTAAACACAACAAGATTGAACAAAAACATTTTCCTCAGGTAATTAAATCAAGGTCATATTCAGTGCCTTTCAATCTACAAGAAAAATCAAACTGTTCTTCTATTGGAACAGAAAACTAAAAACATATGACATATTTCATGTCACAATCACAAACTTTGATCACATCACTTTTCTTGCTTTACATGGGCAGTGGTGTTTGAAGACGGTAATGGAAACAGGGATGGCGGAAACATTAACAAGGACAGACCTCGTTTTCTATTCAGTTCTCCAACAGTTAAACACCACAGTAAGATTCAGTTCAAGGATGGCTTAAGTACAATCAAGTGAAATAGTTATTCAATTAAAAACAAAACTATCGTAATTATGGTCGGGAGACAAGGCAGTATTTGCGCAGAACTGATGCTGGTTCATTTTAACCCTGTACAACATAAGAAAACATAGTGTAACAACTGAATCGGGCACTACTACGGTACAAGGGCATGAATTTGGAATGATATGTTTGAACCATTATTGGCACTAAAAATAAGTTGGCACTAGTAATGGGTAAATCCAGACAGAGACCTCATTTTAGGAATGATAAGTGACAAAATATATTCTGCAAGAGACTGCATAATCAATCAAGCTTTACAGTTTAATGATGATAATTGATGTTTTATTTCTGAATGGCATTAAAGAGATTGATAAAAATTGTTTTGGTTGATTGCTTCAGCAAGTCAGGTGATCAATGACTCTTACCTAGCAACACACACAAAACTTATTAAGGGTATTTTGTATTTTTACCAGTTGAGTAAAAAAAAGGCCATTCTTGAATCAAGTACAGTACTGCAGTGCAGGTTTATCCTCAAGCAAACTGACCAATAATACTTGTTAAAATAAAGTCACTCTTAAATGATTTTTTGATGTCTTTTCCCCCCTTTATATCGTTATGAATACCAGATAAATGCAATGGGACCTTAAATAGAAGGGGGAAAACGAAAGAAATTAAAACATAACACTATGCTATCAGGTACTGGTTGGCTTAAATCGTGCTTTATACTGACGAGCACTTGTAAGGGGAGCTGCGAGCAATGCGCAGCACTGCTTGGGGAGTCGCAGGACTGTGGGCTGGAGTTGGAGGGACCTCTCTAGGCAACACTGGCCCAAGATGTCCAAGGTGCCCAAGGGAGTTGGTTGGGGTGGAGGCCATGGCCGGGACAGGGACAGGGTCCGAGGCAAGCCCTGATCATTTCACTGGTCGGTAGTGGAGTACGAGGTCAGATGAAGATTTCCAGATGAAGTGACGCACTGTTCGCAGATCCATGTTTGGTTCCAGCATCTGAAACAGGGGTGACTGCTGGTCAGGGCCCTGGAACTGGTCAAATTTTAAGTAATACAGATTTCTTAGAATTTCTATTCTTACAATGTCATTGCAAAGAAGTTCCACTTTTTCTTCGGCCAGGGAGCTGGAGTCCTGAACATCCTCAGACTCCTTGTCAGCATTGGCAGGGCCTGCAGCTACAGAGCCGCTTTCGGACCCTGCTCCAAGAACCTTCTCCAGTACATGCTCCGCAACTTTACGGACTTGAATAAAATCATTTGCAATCAACCTATCCCTGTGAAATAGAAGATTTTTTTTTTTTGGAAAGGCGGAATTAGGGTGTTTCAAATCTACTAAATTTAGATTCACATTGAAAAAAATAAATAACATCAGAATTTGGGTGACTTACTTTTTTGTTCGCATTCCTGACGATCCATGAGGTAATAAATAAAATGGTATTTTGATGAAAACTGGCAGGGTCTTCTCCATAACAATATCAACCACCCAGGCTGGAACTGTTTCATTCAAAAGAACTCCCTCAGTCTCACCACCAGCATCTCTTGCAAGGAGCCGATACAGAGTTCTGCCACCAACCTCACTGCAAATGTGGAAGGCTTTAAAATTAATATCTCAGGAAAACATAAATCATTAATAGCAATAAACTAACCTAAGAATGACAGGAGTATGTGATGGGACTGAGAAGTATTCGTTTCCCCCTCTAGTGTGAGTATTGTTTCCAGTATTTGGAGTGTCGCCTTGACCATCTGTTTCTTCATCATTTGATAAGGGTCGCCACCAATGCTCAAGAAGAGCTTGAAGCACAAGATTCCCGTAGTTGACTGTAATAATTTGAAGTAAGAGACATTAGACACAGCTTCAATGCCAAGCCTCATCTTCTTCTGTACGTGGGAAGTGTAGCATGATTGTCAAACCTTTTTGGTCAGCAGCTTCTCCTGAGGAAAGACCTGCTTCTTTAGTAGAAACCCAGGCAGAGAAGCAGTCATTTTCATCCTGTCCCAAGTGAATTGTAAGCATCTAAAAGAGAAGAAAAAAAAACAAGCAATATAAGAAAGAGCGAGCCCTGATTTGAGAATAAAAATATCGGAGACTCCAGACTTACCCCTGTTTTGAGATCAACATTAAACCAGTTGGGAACATAAATCACCTTGTGCCTCTTCTTTATTTCTTCTTCATAATCAACTACACCTAAATCTTCAGTTTTGACAGCCTGAAAACCATGTAAAGAGAAAAATAGAAGTTTTATTTCAGAAAACCATATTGCACCATTCAAATGAATTTCTCAGCCATAAAAAAATACCTTAAGAACATCATAAACAGCCACATTATTTTCTGTGTCTTTGGTAACAATGTGCCGTTTATCATTTAATATGTTAAATTGACGTATGGCAGCTCCACCCTTGATGATGAGATCTGGCTTAGAATTATATGGCTTTGGAGCTTCGTCATAATCCATAGGATGACTACTCTCAGACAGAGTGGAGGGTTTAGGAAGGTTCTGTAAAAGATTTAGATTTTAGATACACCAAAATTATTGTTAGGATGCTGATGAAGCTTCAGCATTTGTTACCCACCCAGAGTTTGATAGGTGAAGTTGATGTAGCAACCCAAACTCCTGTCTGATCCGGTGTTGCTATCATCTTTAGAATTGGTTCAGATTCTTCACATATTAAAACCCTCCTGTCTGGATTTCGCAGATCAGTCATAAAAATTTTACGATCTCTACCACCAGACAAGACCTGTGTAAATGCATCATTGACCTGGAACCAAAAAAAAGTAAGAACTAGATAATTTGATCTGGAAATTAGTCTCGTCATGACTTTAACAGTGCTTACCAAAAGGGCCCAAACTCCCTCATCATGCACATGGAATGTCTGCATGCACCTTTGCTGGCCCAATGACCATAGTTTCATTGTACCGTCTGAGCTCCCAGAAAGGCATTGAGTCCCATCTTTATTCACAGCTAAAGCCTTGACGTTATCCTTATGACCTGTACACAATCAAATGTGATACCATTCAAATGAAAACACACAATAAAAACCATAGTTTCAAATAGAGGAAGAGTTACCTTTAAGCTTCATCAATTTAGTGCACGTGCGAGGATCCCATACTCTGAGAACTTTTTCAGTAGAACCACTGACAATGACACTGCCAGATGGATTCATCGCTAAGCTATAAATTGAATCCTTATTTCCACTTACAGATGAAGCTGACAAAGAAAACATGAGGTATTGATAAAAATGAAGTAATGAAAAGAAAACAATTATAAAAACAGGAACTTACTTGTTACAACATTGTTGCTGGCAGTCAGAGCTGTTAAGGTGTTTATGTCCCAAAGAAAGATTGCTCTATCCAACCCAGCAGATGCAACTTGTTCTCTATCTTTAGCATACGCAAGAGCTTTAACATAATCCTTATGAGTACGAAGTGTTGACATACAAAAGCCTTTGTGAGCATTCCAGACTTTGACAGTTGTGTCTGAGCTTGCAGATATTACTGAAATTCAGAAGGTCACGATATCAGTGAAAATAATGGTGAAGAGTGTCTTAAACTCAAAAGCAACAACCAAATCTTACAGTTTCGACCTCCACAACAGAGTACAACATCATTGACCCAGTCTGTATGATGCTCCATAGACAGGGCGAGAGGGTCTTTCATGTTACTAGGGTTCCACACCCTAATGATACCATCGCGTCCAGCTGAATAAAGTCTCTGGATAGAAGCCGAGTATTGCAATGAATTCACACCAGACCGATGTCTTGGCTCTATTTCATCTCTGATGACATAGGAAACCTAGAATGAAACATTTTGAATTAGATAACAGAAGATCAATAAGGACATAGTTATTGGTAAAACGACAACAATTCTTACTTGAACTTTTTTCTTGCCACTGCTCCCACTAGTTTTGTGAGTCATCATGGCCAGAGAAAATCCTCGCTCGTGGTTCGCAGCTAAATCAAATCTGAAGTGAAGAGAAATAAGACATGCTAAAGTGGAAGATAATCAAGGCAGTAGCACATGAATGAAATGAAGGAGGAAAAAAAAAAGCAAGATCAAATGAAAATCGAAATTATGAACATTTTTTATGACATTTCAAAACTCGTTGCAGAGTCGATTCCTTGGACACAAAACAAAGTAACTCTTTACCACGAAAACGCAGGAATAAAATAAACTAACCTAACATAGCATTGAATGTCCCCCCTCGTTCCACGGACGCACCGGGGACGCACTTGTCATTCACTGCAAATGCGGATTGGGCGCCTCCTTGCAAACGTTCGGTCGACACACAATCATCACGCCATTTGTTCAGAAAAACTTTGTCAAATGTTGAGAACTGTTGTTTATGTCTTCTTGCCGAAAAAGAGGAAGAGAGACAGAAATAGAATGAATACCAACCTACGAAACTGTTCGTTGGGTGCGTATTCAATGCCCCCAACAAAGATTCGACTTCAGGATGGAGCCGAATCCGTATTTTAAATGAAAAATTTCGTTTCATGAAATTTAGATGAGATTTATTTACTGACGTGTACTATTAGCCAAATATTCATATTTTCGGACTGTGGTAGCGTCAAGAGTTGTATGAAAAATTCAAACTTGACAATTTTTTTGGCGCTGATTCCGAAAAATTTGAACTTGACAGCTGCCTCGACTCCAGTTGATAGTCTAGTGGGATTCATTCACACAAATATGAGAATGTTTATCCAGTAAATTTAAATAAGTAACTCAATTCTTTTCAATACGGAAAAATAATTTTATTTTAAATAAGGTAAAAACAAATATAGAAACCAAGTACAAAAATACCTTAAAGTAATGGAATGGCATGGAAACATTTGATGGTGTGCTCATAGGTGCCTATCAACAAGAAAATCACAAGAAGTTGTTTAATAATGAGGTGTAGCAAAACGTCCAATGGTGAAAAGTTTTTTGAGATGATCTTCTTATCTTGTTTTCAAAGATTTGAGAAGTTCTGATGCTTCTTGATGGGCCTATCAGAAACAAAGTTGGCTTAGCAAGATCTTTATTTCTGTATAAAATAAGTAGATGAAAGAAAGATGATGTATACCTGATGGTCATCTTCTGTAAATTTAGGGTAGTTCATGGCTCTCTGTAGATAGTCAATGGCAGTATCCGGGTCTCCCAGTTTCAGGTGGCATTTTCCAAGCATAAGAAGGTTCAAGCTGAGAAAAAAAAATGCAAATTACAGATTATGAGTTTGGTTGCTAAAGTGCAAATTTTAGGAGGAAAAAATTCACTCAGCACCTATAAAAATTAGGTGACGTTTCTTCGGCCTTTTTAAAGAAATGCAAGGCCTCTTCATATGTTGCTGAAGGAGGTTTTCCTGCAATTGCTTGAAGCACCTTCCTTTGATACCACGCAAGTTCTGCGATGGAGTAATACCTTAAAACAAAGAAAAGAATTCTGAACATTATGAAACAGCATGTTTCACTTGCACACATAAAAAAAATATTACTGAATAACTCACCACATTCCGACCATGTATATAACTGTTGCATCAGACGGATCTAATTCAATAGACTTCTATTGAGAAAAAACGCAAAATTTCTAACAAAGCAATCACATTTTTGTGAAAATATTCATAATTTACATAAACAGACTCATACCAGCATGTGGTCCTTGACAGAAACAAGTGAGGTACAACGTGTTCGAAATCCCTGAATTGCATTGTAGGCATCAAGGGCAATCGACATCCATTTATGACCTAAGGCACTATTTTCATTGAGCTGCAGCGTCATTTTTGCCATGTCATAAGATTCTTCGATTAGGGCATCCCGCTCGGCTTTAGTGAGGGTTTTCGATTTAGAAAGCAGGTACGAAGCTCTGCTTATCCTCCAAGAGATTTCTTCGTTATTGAGATGCTAAGGAAGTAAAGAGGTGTTTTTTGGCAAGCACAAATATGAGGCAAAGAAATGTTCAACGACATACCTTGTAAGGTCTCAGCAAATCCAAAATATCTTGTAACTTGTTTTCTTCGAAAAGAATGTCGGCCTTCTTCACTACAACTGCAACATCCTTTAGTGATGGGAGGGTAATTTGTTTTGTATCAGGTGATGCAGCATAAACAACAAGTGTTCCTGAGCACAGGGCCAGAGGTTTTGTGAATCTGATGGCAGGTAATGCCTTGACAACGACACCAAGAGGCCTAGCCTGGATGAAAAATAGTGAATGATTTAAACTGAATGTATTTAAACGACATAAGAGCAAATAATTGAGTTGGAATGTAAACAAATTCTTACCAAGTAATTTACTCTCTCCACCCTGATGTGGCTCAGGACAGAGGAAATGAACCGTACTCTGCTTAGCATTTTGATTGAGTGACGAATGAGGTTATCTTGGAATGCAAAAGCACTTCAAAGCTTAGGTACTGGGTCAGAAACATGAGTCCATTTACGTACAGTTGTCCCTTTAAATTGAGACACTGACAGGTTTGACAGATGACAACTCAGCAACTGGCCGCTGAGTTTCTCATACTGGTGGAAGAGCACAGCTCATGAGAAATTCATACTAGGGTGGGACAGCGCTGAATTCAAAAGGTTCGCTTTCGTTGTTACCTCCCCGTGCTCACAATTACTGAAAGCCAGCTCGCTGACGTGCACCCTGAGTGTGAAGGTGTTCTGATGGGAGGAAGAAAATGCACAAGGGCCTACACATTAAAGTTTTGCCGTAGTTTAATTTCAACAAAACACAATAACAGCAAAATGTCGATGATTTTATTCAGTAATTACAGTTCACATTACCACTAGATCGCTATTCCCGCACGTCTTACACTTTAAACATATGAAATTACGAATTTTAGAAAAAAAGGGGACACGTTCCCAGTGTTCCTGTTTCTGGCTGCGAAGGCACTGTTACGTATTTCACAAGACCAGTCCGTTTGAATTGATCGCCTGGCCCGAGAGGGGGCTGGACGGCATGAAGGCATCGTTGCTAGCCGCACGAAGAGAACAACTTCAGTGTGCGTTTGAACGGAGTACACTGTCTTTTGGGCCGGGCCGAGGCGAGCCAGGCGCCTAGTTCGTCTGCCAGCTGGAGCAGTTGGGGCACTGCCGGGGCTGCCGGGGCTGCCGGGGCTGGCAAAGGGGCCCGTCCACCAGGTCCGCCAGGTCCGCCAGGTCCGCCAGGCAGGGCGCGCTGCGCTGGCTCGTGCGAGGGCTGGCCGCACCGAAGGCGGGTTGGGCACACTGGGCACACGCCACCTGCGGCGGCACCTGCCCGCACCTGGGCCAGGTGCCGCTGTTCTGCGGGCCGGCGTGCGCGGCGTGCGCGCAGGGCTGCCACACGGGGCCGCACCAGGTGGCCGACTGCGGCAGCTGCGGCAGGTGGTGTTGGTGGTGGTGGTGCTCGTGGATGTGCACGCACGCTTGGTGCCACTGCCGCCGCGCGTCCCCCACGGGGACGGGCAGCTGATGCTAGGTGGGCAGGTGGTGGTGGTGGTGATGATGATGGTGGTGTAGCTGGCACGAGCTCAGACCCTCCACACTCCCGTGCTGCGAGAAAGCGACGCAAAACGCGGTCAGGCGAGGACAAAAATGCCAAGTCAAAGCCGCTACCCGAGTTCCTACCGAGGGGACGCTGAGCTGCGGCGGCGGCGGCGCGGGCGGCAGCGCGCACAGGGCGAGGCCGTCGACGTGGTCCTCGCGGCCGCGGCGCCGCTGGTGCAGGCCGGGCTGCAGGCCGGGCTGGCACGGCGGCAGCGACGCCACCACCACGGAGTGCATGGAGTGCGAGCGCGTGCCGCAGCGCGGGGGCGGCGGCGGCGGCGCGGGGGGCGGCACGGCGGCGGCCATGGCGTGGCGCAGCGGCCGCGAGTCGCACGACACGGCCATGCACAGCTCGTCGGCGATCTGCGAGCACAGCGACGGCTGCGGGAAGGCCTGCGGAACGAGGCATGTCAGGGAACTCCAACGCAGGGCACAGCCCTGGCACAGCCCTGGCACAGCCCTGGCACAGCAAGCGGGCATTACATCAGGTGGGTGTTGGCCGTTCCATGCACGAGGCGCTCACCATCTCGAAGCGCGCCGTCAGGCGTCGCGTGAAGTAGCAGAACTCGAAGATGGCGACGGTCATGGCGACGGCCAGGCCGCACAGCAGCACCACGAAGACGCCGCCGATGTTGGCCACGCCCAGCGAGTTGGCCTTGTTCTCCTTGCCCTTCTCGGCGCGCAGGCAGGTGCTGCCCGCGCTCTTCCACCACTTGTCGTACAGCATCTGGATCTCGCCCTTCTCCTGCAGCTCCAGGATCACCAGGGAGATCTTGTCGCGCCAGGGCGACCCTGCAAAGGAGGCGGAATGAGCTGCCGCGTTCTGTCTTCCTCCCTCTGTCTCTCACGCTGACAGTGGGCCGGAAGAACGGTGGAGGCGGCCAACATTCCAGACGCGTTTTGAGCTCCAGAGTCGCTAAATGGGACTCGGACAGATCGTGTGACCCCACCAATGGATTCTTCGTTCGGCGAGCAATCCATTGATGGAGTCACACGTTTGGTTCGAGTCCCATTTAGCGACTCTGGAGCTCAAAACGCGTCCGGGATTTTGACCGGTCCTCTGGCCCACTGTACGACGCCGCCCCCACCGCGCACCTATGGGCGTGGCAATGCCGTAGCCCTTGGAGTCGAGCAGGTCGCCGATGCTGGTGAGGTTGCAGTCGCGCTGCACGATGTAGTCCAGCATGGTGGACTCCATGAGGAAGGCGTAGTTGCCCTGCAGCACGCGCTGGATGCCCTCCTCGTACGTGGACACGAACACGGACGGCTTCTTGTTCTCCATGAACCGCCACATCTTCTTGTACGTCTCGATCATCGAGTCCTGAGCACAACACCCGGAGCAAATTAATCAATGTAACAACCAAACCGCCGCATCGCGAGCGATCGCAAGCGCTGAACTGAACAGCGAGCTCACCCTGAAGAAGGTCATGGTGGAGCCGCCCTCCAGGGTGCCGTAGGCGATGTCCGTCTGGCCCGCCAGGTCCTCGGCGTTCTCGATGGGCGTGATCATGCGCTCCACGGTGAGGAAGGCCGCCAGGTTGGCCGTGTACGAGGCGATGATGATGAGCGTGAAGAACCACCAGATGCCGCCCACGATGCGTGTGGACGCGGCCTGCGGGCCGACGTGGACAAGGTCATCAATGAAGGGAACGGAGGGAGGGAGAGAGAGAGAGAGAGAGAGAGAGAGAGAGAGAGAGAGAGAGAGAGAGAGAGAGAGAGAGAGAGAGAGAGAGAGCGGGCGGACGGCCCTGGCGCTCACCCGGGGGTTGAGGTCGGAGCCCTGCTGCATGAGGGTGCCGATGGCGAACCAGAAGCAGTTGACGATGCTGAAGTGGTTGGCCATGGCGTCGTGGAGGGAGCCACGCCACTCGTAGGGCGAGAAGCGCGCCGTCACGTACATGGTGAGGGACACGAGCACGTACGCCAGCACCACGAACATCCACACGTGCACCGACAGGGGGTTCATGAAGGAGAAGAGGCGCGTGGGCTGCGTCGTCGGCACCTGCAGCAGCAGGCCCAATGGACAATGATGGACACACTATTTTGAAGCCGCACACTGATTCCGAGAGTCGTTTTCGTCGCTCTGTGTCTCTAGCACTCATGAGGCGTCCCTTATACGAGAGAGAGGCACAGAGCGTCGAAAACAACCCTCGAGTCCACTGGGCTTTGCAGGCGGTCGGTACGCACCTTGAACAGGATGCTGATGCCCAGGTTCATGAAGGGCTTGGTGAAGTCGATGACGCTCTCTCTCGCGTAGTTGATGGTCATGGAGCCCACGGCCAGGTCGGCTTTCTGCAAGGAGGAGAGGAACCAGCCGGTCAGTACAACGCCATTCACCAAATGCTTCCTTCCTCTCATCTGGACACCAATCTGCATTACCCATCTAGATTATTTCAAGAGTGCGCAATATTTCTACAGAATATTTTTTTTACGTGGTTGTGCTCTGGCAAACATACAAGGAACATCAATACTTGATACGGAAGAAAGAGGTTCCAGCTACGACTAGAGCCGCCCAGGACAAATCCAGGACGCTAGCTACGACATGTTACTGCAGGCACACATATATAGCAGTGCGGTACTGTGAGCGCGAGCTCTACTTGACATGGCTGACCTACAGGGAAGTCGGGAACAGGGTTCGCGGCCTTCAGTCCAGAGCGAATCCATTCAATCAGGTCCCCGCTCAAAGGCCCGGCCCCCCGCAGTCGAAATCCACATAATGAATCGGCTCAACTTTCCATTTTTACCAGAAAAGTTAACACTGTTGTTTAGTCGGGAGCGGACTAATTTCGTTTCCCCTGACTTGTCAAAGTTCTCACAGCGGGCCTCCGCGTCTTGAGCAGCGGTCTGAGGTTAAGCCCGAGCCGTGACGACGTGGCGTCCGGCCTCCATATTCATGAAGGAGGGCCTCAATGGACCGCCCCGCCCCGCCCCGCCCCGCCCCGCCCCGCCCCGCCCCGCCCCGCCCCGGCCGGCCGCGCGGTAAACAAATAGCTCGATCAAGGCCTTTGGGGCCTTCGGCTGCCTTTGGCGCCGAGGACGCGGCTGGAAAGGCACCGGCTGAAAAGCGGCACAAACCGGTGGAGCTGAAAGTAAACAGACGAAAACGAAAACGAACCGGAAGACCGGCGCGATTACGCGTCGCCGCCGACGGGAGAGAGAGAGAGAGATAGAGACAGAGATGCGACAAAAAGAACAAGGCGGGTGGCGCCCGGTCTCCCCCAGCCCGGCCCGGCCCGGGGGACAGAGAGAGAGAGAGAAAGAGAGAGAGAGAGAGAGAGAGAGAGAGAGAGAGAGAGAGAGAGAGAGAGAGAGAGAGAGAGAGGAGGAGGGCGCCCGGCGCGACGGTGGTAGGCCGCACGGGGGCATGTGTGTGCGGCGGGCCTGCCTACCTGCCGCATGGCAGGGGCTCGGCGCGGCGGCCGGGCGGCGGGGTCGTCGCGCCGTCTCTCTCGCACTCGTGGCGTGTCCCACTGCGAGCTGCGGAGCACTGCGGAGCTACCGGGCGGCATGCATGCGCAGCGCGGCGCCGCACAGTGGGCCAGTAGACCGGTGGAGGCGGCAAAAACTCTAGACGCGTTTTGAGCTCCAGAGTCGCTAATCAGGACTCGAACCGAACGTGTGACCCCATCAATGGATTCCTCGTTCGAAGAGCAATCCATTGGTGGGGTCACACGTTCCGTTCGAGTCCCATTTAGCGACTCTGGAGCTCAAAACGCGTCTAGAGTTTTTGCCGCCTCCACCGGTCTACTGACCCACTGTGCGCCATGGCCGAGGCTGCCGAGGCATGCAGGTAGTCGTCGTCGTCGGGCATGTGAGGTGCACCTTGTCCATGAGCTGGCGCACGATGCCGTTCCACTCGCCCGAGTCCAGGTCGAACACGCCGTACTTGCCGTCCGGCACCAGCTGCAGCGTGTACTCGAAGCCCACGGTGGCCGCGATGGTCTGCAGCAGCTCGATGCAGAAGCCCTCGAAGCGCTCGTTGCCCGTCAGGTTGGCGTGCCCGTCCCTCAGCATCACGTACGGGGTCTCCTGCAACAGTGGAGGCCCGGAGGGGTGGTGGAGGGGCGCCGGGAAGCGAAGGTGTGTGTGTGTGTGTGAGTGTGTGGGTGGGGGAGTTGGAGGGTGGTCACAGTGGAAGTTACTGATGTTACGAGATGGCGAGATTACGAGGGTGAAGCGGGGCGGAGTTTCTTGGCGGCGCCCCGCACGCAGGGCGGCAGGGCTGCGCCAGGCTACGCCGGGGCTACGCAGTGCTACAGTGTCGCTGACAAACGAGAGACACTCATGGCGGTGCACACTACACGCCCCCAAGTGGGGCCGCCACAAGTCTACGACGAGTGCACGCACAGTGTGGGCACGGCGGCGTGGGCACACCGTGTAGGGACGCACGTGTTTCATGAGCTGCAGCACCATGCCGTTCCACTCGCCGGTGGCAGGGTCCTGCGCGCCGTACTTGCGGTCGGGCACCAAGTCGATGATGTAGTCGAAGCCCACCTCGCGGGACACGCGCGCCAGCAGGTCCACGCAGAACCCGTAGAAGCGCGCGTTGCCCGTGTAGTTCTTGCCGTAGTGCATCATGACGTAGGGGAACTCCTGCGGGACAGGCCGACAGACAGGCCGGCGGGGAGGCCGCGCGCTGGCTGTGATCACAGAGCTCGCGAGCGAGCGGCCTTGCTTCGGCGGGGAGCTCACGGGAAGCCGCGTCAACGACTCAGGAAGACTTTGCTTGGCCAAACTACGCCGAAAACCGGTAACCGAGGGGGTATGCGCTCTCCGAACCGGTGCACTGACTATTACGCTATTACGCTCTATTACGCCACAAATTAATCGGAATTTAGCTAAAAACGGCCTAAAACACACCAAAATTGATAAAATTTTGACATTTTCGGCTATTACGCGACTATTACGCGTATTATTACGCGTGCTATTACAGATAGAGTGAACCGACTATTACGTGAGTGCATACCCCCTCGCCGGTAACGCTTGTCGCAAACGACAGTCCGTCGATCAACAAAAAAAATTTTAAAAGGAAAAAGATAAAAACAAAATGAAAATGTTGAAGTCGGCTGCAAAACATTGGATTGAAACCCAAACGTTTTTGGTGTTTAGGCTGTCGAAACTCTTAATTTTTTTTTTAAAATTAATCGATGTGACTTTGACGCGGTGGGTTCAACAGGTTCTGGGAGGGTATGCGCGAGCTGTACCGCCCCGCCCCGCCCCGCCCCGCCCCGCCCCGCCCCGCCCCGCCCCGCCCCGGCCCGCCCCGCCCCGCCCCGCCCCGCCCCGCTGGTTCCGGCCGTGGCTTGCGCGCTGCGCCCAGGCTGCGCCCTTGGGGTTTTGTAACCATACACTACTGCCAGCCAACTAGCAGGCAGCGTCCCTAAGTCCCCAGCGACGCCGCGCACCGCCGCGCACCGCCCACCCTCCTCGTTTCCTGTTTGTACGGGCCGGGCTATGCCGTCCTGCCGTTGGTCTTGTCGTCGCTCTGTCTCCCTCGCTCTCACGGCGCGCACCGCAGCGCAGTGGGCCAGAAGACCGGCGGAGGCGGACAAAACTCACGACGCGTTTTGAGCTAGAGTCGCTAAACAGGCCTCGAACCGAACGAGTGACCCCACCAATGGATTCCTCTTTCCGAGAGAGCGATCCATTGGTGGGGTCACACGTTCGATTTGAGTCCCATTTAGCGACGCTGGAGCTCAAAACGCGTCGTGAGTTTTGGCCGCCTCCACCGGTCTTCTGGCCCACTGTGCGTAGGGTGCCGTAGGGGTGCGAGAGGGACAGGACGCGGCTTGGCATCAGTCTACAGCGGACCGCGCGCAGCAACGCAGCAACGCACCACCGGTCGGGTCGGTCTGCCGGATCGAGTCCTTTTCATCGGGGTATCGACAAAGGCCGTTCTTTCCAAGACAATGCGTTCGCTTCAAGTGCAACAAAAGTAACTCTCGCTGACACGGCCGGGGCGGCTGCATTGTGACCGGCCAACAAAGCCGGGAACCTGGAACCGGCAGGACTGGCACCAGAGTAGAGTTTGTTTAGAGTTAAATGAACACAACAAAAAGACTGTTTCCTTCTCTCGTCTTGTTTTTTTTTCTCCCGCGGGGGGAGCGCCGCTGCTGGCGAACCCACGTCCCCGTTTACGACCACGACGTTCACCACCACGAGGTCCACCACCTCCAGGGCGTTCACCACCACCACGGCGTTCACCACCACGGCGTTCACCTCCATGGCTTACCAGGATGGTGACCACGACGAGGGTCACGTTCATGGTGCCCGCGTCGAAGAAGGCCTCGTGGTCGGTGATGTTGACGCCCTGGCGCGGCGACCACTCGCCCACCTTCACCAGGGCGTGCTGCTTCAGCTTGAGCAGGTCCAGCTTGAACTGCACGCGTCGGCCCTCCTTGAAGGCCACCGGGCCGCTCAAGCCTTTGTGCTCCACCTGCAAAAGGCCGCGTTTCGTTGGTGAAGATCAAAACAACAGACGCGAAATAAGGAAAAACAGGGAAAACAACAACTAAAAGGAGTCCTTTACGAACAAATTGACTTAATACGACTGAAAAATAAATCTGAAAACTCTTTGTCACCGATTCAGTTGATTCAAAGTGACTATAATTGCCGTACATTTTCTTTTGGATAAGCTTTTCACAGAGTTTTTAATAGTTAGATCAATTCCTCATTCATTCATTCATTCATTCATTCATTCATTCATTCATTCATTCATTCATTCATTCATTCATTCATTCATTCATTCATTCATTCATCCATTCATTCATTCATTCATTCATTCATTCATTCATTCATTCATTCATTCGTTCGTTCATTCATTGCATTCACTGCATTCGTTCGTTCAGCCCTCGAGGCTGGCCGGCTCGGCTGGCTTGATTTGTGCGTCGTGCGTGTGTGCGTGGTCCAGGCAGTATGTTGCCTATTGCTCACTAGGGGCGCGGTACGTGGCGAGGGGGCGGGGGGCCCGGGCATTAACACCACAATGGTCGGTAGCCGCTGAGCTGGCGGCGATTAACAGAGAGGGCGCGCGAAATGAGGAGGGGGGGGGCGACGGGGAGGCGCCGCGGAAAGAGGGGGGAAATTTAAGGCGGCCCGGCTAATCTCGAGCGCGGCCGAAACGCCGAAAACGGGCCGCGACTGACTATTCATTACGCGGTGCGGAGCGGTGCGGCATTCAGTACCGGCGGGCCGTGTGCTATCTCTCTCGCACTCACGCGGCGCCACGCAGGGCGACACGCAGGGCGACACGCAGGGCGACACGCAGGGCGACACGCAGGGCGACACGCAGGGCGACACGCAGGGCGACACGCAGGGCGACACGCAGGGCGACACGCAGGGCGACACGCAGGGCGACACGCAGGGCGACACGCAGGGCGACACGCAGGGCGACACGCAGGGCGACACGCAGGGCGACACGCAGGGCGACACGCAGGGCGACACGCAGGGCGACACGCAGGGCGACACGCAGGGCGACACGCAGGGCGACACGCAGGGCGACACGCAGGGCGACACGCAGGGCGACACGCAGGGCGACACGCAGGGCGACACGCAGGGCGACACGCAGGGCGACACGCAGGGCGACACGCAGGGCGACACGCAGGGCCGCAGGGGTGCGAGGGAGAAACGAGACTCCAAGCTTCCGGGCACTACACGCCGCGGAGGGCGAGAACAAGGAGAAACGGGGCAGCAAAGTCAAGGTCGGGATGACGACCCGGTAGTCTGCCACGAGTGCTTGTTACTGCCGGGGCCGGCGCAGCAGCAGACTGATTCCGATTCCGAGAGTCGTTGCCGTCGCTATGTCTCTCTCGCTCTCACGGGGCGTCCCGTTTGAGTGCGAGAGAGACAGTGCGACGACTCTCGGAATCGGTCTGCAGCTCGCGCCCCGCTCAAGGAGGCCCCGCTGCGGAGCATGCAGAGCAGGCTGTCTGCTCCTCGAGGTTACCTCGTTACCGACCGCGGTCGAGGCCGTGGAGGCCGTGGAGGCCCTCGTTCGCGACAACGGCCCCTCCCTCACTCACCGCCGTGATGTAGTTGATGAGGGAGAGCCCGCCGTCCCAGGGCGCCTCCTCGCTGCAGCTGACGTTGGTGAGGCGCAGCGCGTGGCCCTGCTCCAGGCTCTGCAGCCCGATGGCGAACACGTGCACCGCGTCGAACAGCAGCGCGGGCTCGGACTGGCGGCACAGAGAAGGCTTCTTTGGTGGGACTCAATCCGAGAGTCGTTCGTCGTCGCTCTGTCTCTCTCGCACTCATGGCGCGTCCCGTGCAGGTGCGAGAGAGACAGAGCGACTCTCAGTCTGCAGTGGCTGCACCGCAAGGCTGCTGGAGGGATGCTCCCCCCCCCCCTCCCGGTTCCCAAACGTTTCTGTTGTCCGCCACTTCCGGTGGCGCCGGCCGCTTTATTCGAAAAACTTTTCTTGCCGCCGCACCGCCGCGTCGCTCCGTCTCTCTCGCACTGCCGGGGGCCGCCGCACGCGTGCGACAGAGACAGAGCGACGCGGGAGGGACTCTTCGGAGTCAGGCTGGGCTGGGCCGGGCCAGGCGAGGCGCGCACGTCCGCGTTGCTCGTTCGTCGAGGCGGGGCGGGGCGGGGCGGGGCGGGGCGGGGCGGGGCGGGGCGGGGCGGAGCGGGGCGGGGCGGAGCGGGGCGGGGCGGGGCGGGGCGGAGACACGCGGCCACGCCACCGGAAGCGGGTCCTGAATGATAACACAATAATGGCCGCCCGCGAAGAATTCAAACAGGATAACAAACTAACAACGGCCCCGGCTCGCCACGGAACCGGTGTGCGGCGCGGTGCGGCGCGGTGCGGCGCGGGGGAAAGGAAGGAGGCCAGTATCAAGAAAGCGGGCGCGTCCTTCGCGTCCTTCGTGACCGGCCGGGCTGAGGCCGGGCCATTGTTCGGGGAGGGGAGGGGGTAGTTAGTGGAGTTGGCAATCGTTTCGGGGCTGCAAACGGCGCGCGCGGTGGCAGGCCCGGACCAAGGCCCGGACGGCCAGAGATGAGCGAGACGCGGGACCCACTGGGAACAAGGACCAGCGTCGGTTGTTTTCCTCCAGGATTTGCACATTACGAACAACGAAGAACGAAGCGCGAGAGTTTAGCCGGAGGAGGCGGGCCGGCGGGTCTGCGCCGATCGCCTGGAAGTGCGGGTCGAGGAAAGACGAGTCTCTCTCTCTCTCTCTCTCTCTCTCTCTCTCTCTCTCTCTCTCTCTCGCACTCATACGAAGCGGTACGTGAGTGGGAGAGAGGCAGAGCAGGTCTGCGAGGCAGCGCGGCCACCGGGCCCGCCAAACCACCGGGCCCGCCAGATAGCCCCCGGTCCCTTTTCACTTCAACCACTGAGACGAGGAACCGGGGCACCGCCCAACAGTGTGTCAAGTGCCACGCGGAGGCTTGACTCCTCACCTGAATCCCCTTGGTCTTGTTGAGCACCTGCTCCATGTCCTTGAGCACCTCGCGCACCGACATGTCCTCGGCGTCCACGATCCGAAAGGACGTGATGTTGACAAAGTTGTACTTGAAGTCCTCCAGGTCGAAGCTCTCCATGTCCTGGGGGAGCGAAAGGCGAAAGGTAATTATTAAAAGTCGAGCAGGGCGGGGATTAGCGGGAGTGGCCCGCCGGGGGAGGGGAGCGCACCCCGCGCAGAAGCCCTGTGGGGGCCTTCTGGCCCACTGATCCCCGGCCCAGCGAGGGGAACGACGGACTCACAAAAGTCGTGAAGACGAAGTGGTACTTGTAGTCGTTCATCTGCAGCTGGAGCACCTGCAACACAACGTCGTCGAGTTACTTTACGAGTTTGTTTTTCACAGAGTTCCTTTTGAAGGAAAAATAACGCCGAGTCGCACCTCCCTGAGGAAGTGGCGCATGGTGTCGGGCCGGGTGTCCACCACCAGGTTGTAGATCTCCTTGGCCTTGATGTCCTTGAGCACGGTGCGGAAGGACGCGGGGTCGGCCTGCCGCACGTACAGCTCCATGTCCTGGCGCACCAGGTCGCGCAGCTTCATTAGCCCTGCGCCAAACAGTGGCCAAACAGTAGGTCAACATCCGGGGACTCCCGAGACAGTCAAAGGGGGAAAACGCTGCACTGCTCTGTGGATTTGCCAGAAGACCGGTGGAGGCGGCCAAAACTCGTTTTGAGCTCCAGAGTCGCTAAATGGGACTCGGAATCGAACGTGTGACCGCACCAATGAATTCCTCGTTCGGAGAGCAATCCATTGGTGGGGTCAGTTTAGCGAATCTGGAGCTCAAAACGCGTCCGGTATTTTGACCACCTCCGCCGGTCTTCTGGCCCAGTGCCTTGCACTGCACTGACCGTAGTCCTCCTCGTAGATGACGGCCACCTTGGTCCAGTTGAGGAAGGCCATGAGGTCCATGAAGGCCCGGTTGAGCATGTCCTGGCTGGGGTGCAGGTTGATGGAGAACTCCCGAAAGTGCATGTCCATATCGAGGCGCGCCTCCAGGTGCGGGATGTCCAGGGCGTCACACACAGAGTGCACGTGCGTGCCCAGCAGGTGGTCCGTGGGGCCGAACAGCGCGTGCACGCCGCCGCCCACCAGTCGGCACGCTGGCAAACAAAACATGGCATTTCAATTTCCTGCGCATTCTTGCGACATTCCCCAACAACAGTACACCTTATCGAATGACGGAAACACCGCGAGAAAATCCCTCAGCAACATTTCACGAAACCTGTGGAAATTAGTGGTTCTAGACGTGGGCTTCCTCAACACGGCGGGCTGGGTTCGTTTGAATCTCCCGCGGCTCGCTGCCGATAGCGCTGCTGTTATCGGCTGGCTGCAGACAGGCTGCTGCAGAGCCGTCGTCGCCCTGTCTCTCTCGCACCCCAGCGGGCCGGGCCGCGCGCGAGCGGGACAGGCAGAACGCCCGGTTCGGAGGCTGCCTGCTGCAGACGGCAGCACAAGATTGGCCGCCAGCTCGGGCTGCCGGCGCGGCGTTGGTGCGTCTGTCCGCAGCGAGTGACGGAGTGACGCAGTGTTCCCGGTATTGGCGAGGCCTCCGCACGTCTTCGTTCGCGACCGCGCGGGCCGTGCGCTCAACTTGGTGGACTTGAAGGCAGCGAGCCACCTCCTGGACGTCGTCATGCTGCCCCTGGTGCTGCTGCTGGTGGCCTGTTTGCTGCCGCCACCGCGGGGCGGCGCCGCCCCCTCCGCCCCCACCGCCCCCGCGCAGCAGCTCGCCGTCCTGGCCACCACCCCCCAGCCGCCAGAGGCGGTCTCCAAGAGGTGGGTCGCCTGCTGCGTTAGGTGCTTTTGTTTTTATTTGGTTTTATTGTTGTTGCTTTTTTATTGCGAGGATAAGAAGCCTCATGTGCAACACAGATAACAAGGTGTCAGGTTTCTAGAATGCGGATGATAGGACGCACGAAGTGGAAATTTTGGAGCAATGACAGATCGCGCATGCCAATCAGTGGTCCAATTTTAACCTATTCTTTCATTCTGTCTGAATTTAAAGTGGTTTATGTGGCTGATACGTTAACTAATAGTCTACGGCGAGATTTTAAAGCCGCTGCGTGCCGCGCACTATTGCGCAACAGTTATCAGCCTTTTTTCGACCAAAACATGTGAGATAGTGCGTTTCAGTGAATTGCGTCACTCGCCCCCACCCCCGGGCGTAAGTGTGAACCGAGACGAGCAGTTTCACGCGCAAAGACGGCCAAATAACAAAACAATATGCAAAGTCTTTTTTTTTTAATTTGAAGGGGCTGGTCGGCCCCCTGTGGTGCGCGTCTTGGCACGCCTCGCGTCATGGCACACTGTCTGGCGCGGCAGATACGCTATACTGGCTTGGTTGTGTTGGCAGCTCTGCGCAAGGCTCGGCGGGCCTGTTCCGCCTCAGCGTCGACAACCACTACACCATGACGCGCAAGCGGCCGCGCGCCAAGCAGCACGAGCTGAGCCCCGCCGCGCTGCGCGCCGACCCGGCCCTGGGCGGCGACGTCGACACTGTCACGGCGAAGATCGGCGAGAGGATCATCCGGGTGCCGCACCGCCGCGTGGCCACCGGCTGCCGCATCTACCAGCGCATGGACCGCCTGGGCCAGTGCCGTAACCGCTGGTGACAGTGCCACCGGCGGCTGGCGACCATCAACTGTCATTCGACGTGCTCAGTCGTCACTGAGTTTCAAACAACGCGCAAAGAAACTCGCTTTTCGATGTGTAAAAAGAGAGACGAGATCATCTTCAGAGAATCTCTGGACTCCACTCGGCTGGTCATCGCCGCACTGCTGACTTTTTTTGCATTCCAGCGTGGCCGCTGAACGTAAAATATTTATTTATTTTTCTATGTTGTGCGTTTGATTTTAATGTTTTTTTTTTGCACGGTAGAGCCTGCTTTTATCCCTTATTGTTTACTCCAGTATTTCTGGAAACCTATTGTTACCATAGCGTAAGATAGATGTAAGAAGCAGCTTCTGAACAGCAATAAATACAAATTATTTATACATTCTTAATCATTTTCGTTCCGTGACAGCAATGGCCTTAATCACAGCCAATCCGATGCATCATGTCCTGCGCCCTTCCGGCCGGCCCCGACTTTCAAAAGGGCAAGGAAGGCCAAATATTCTTTTTTTAAAAAGCCAACAATCCCCCCCTTCTCTCTGTCTCCGTTGGTACGGTTCCATAGCGACGTCGTAGATTTCCTTTTTCCCGCCGGCGCTTGATCACACCCAATCAGGCAAATGAGATGGTCATCACCTGTCAACAACCCCGCGCGACTTCCAAGCAAAAAAAAAAAGCATCTAACGATGCGAAACAAATAATTCTCACACATTCTCACATTCTCACACAATTCTCGCGTCACACCCGGCAGCCCGCCTCGTCGCTTTAAGCTGACCTTCATGATAACCCGCCTTCCTTCTCTCTCCATTCTCCTCTTTGTCTTTCCTCGTAAGCCACTTATCCTCTCTTTTTGTCTGCCACTGTACTTCTTTATTTTTGAAACAAAAAATTGGGCCGCCCACTGGCAGCTGAAACAAAGAACTAAACCGGGCCGCGGATGGCGTGCGAAATGTGCAAATAAACGCACGGAGGTGTCTCGACCGTTCTTTTTGTCTTTCCCGCCACATTTCGTTGGTGGCAACAGAACGCGCGTAATGAAATTCTTCCTTCGATGATTGGAGCCACCGGTGTTAGCATCGGCTGGATCGGCAACTCAGGTGCACTGCTCGAAAGTCAAAACGCCTCCAATTTGGACCATGTTTTTCGCCTGTTCCGGCGCGCTGCGCATCGCAATATAAAACGCCCCGTAAAATAGCAGAAGGCCGCGTAATTTTCAACGGGGCTCCTCCTGAGTACCGCCGCGTCGGGTGCTTATTGCAATCCTCGGTGCGCCGACGACGACTTCTGCCCCGGCAAACTTTCTATCTCTTTCCCTCGTCGAAATAAAAACAAAAGTTGTGACTTTTCTCCGCGCGGCAGCAGGTTTCCAGCTTAACGGCGGGGCAAAGCTGCCGCCGCAGTGTGCACGCGACCGGAAATTGGCGCGAAGGAAACACGCACCGGAAATGCGCGGCCGGGCTCCTCCGCGTTCGTTAGCCTTTCACGGCAACGGAAGGATGCGCCATTTCCACCTCACCTGATCCAGGGGAACCTCGTTCTTTCTTCCTTTGTCACTCACCCTGCTTGGCGGCGTGGAACGAGTCCTCCCTCGCGACGTACTCGATGTGGTACATGAGCTTGGTGTTGGGCAGCAGCACGGGGTCCTCGTTCACCCTGTACACGGCGTACTTGAAGGCCAGCTCGGCGGCGCTGTCTCGTTGGTCCTCGGTGAAAATGGCACCTGAAAAATTAATTAAGAAATGGAGCAAACTTTTTAGTTTTTTACACCTTGTTGCTGCCTCTTCACCTCACGCCACGCCCTTTGTGCCTAACGAAGTCGTGAAGGCGACACGTGTGAGGTCGGCGCGCCACCGCCCTGCAGCCTGCCCGCTAGCGCCTCCGGCAGGCGCCGTCAGCACTGCTTTGAGAGTACCTGGCAGCCTGGCAGTGAGCAGTGCAGTGTCGGCTGCTTCGTTTGTCTCCTCAAAGGGTTGCTGCCTACCTCACACCCTTTGGAACGCGACGCCAAAGCCTTCCGGATCTAAAAATTTGTAAATATAGAAACGGTGTCATAGAGTTTCAGGCTGGAGGATGCGCTCATGCGGCAATAAAATTCGGAGAAAAGATAGAGTCGTATTTCTGTCTTTTTCTCATTTTCCTTTCGATTGTGATGGCCGGGATGTAAATCAAAATGATAAGCCTCTCTCGGACTCGGTAGGCTAAACAAGGCGCGACCGAAATTGTGCAAGCTTAAAAATAAACCCGGCGCCGCAAGAGTGGTTTGGCCTTGTTTGGCAGAATCGATCGACATTGATTTCATCTCGTGGGCTGGAAAAAACAACAACAAGAAAACCGGGGCGCGTCTTGTCTTCCTTGTGGGCCTCGTTGCCGGTTCGTCCGCGGCGGAAAATATTCATCCGGAAAACGAAGGACGGTGCATCTCATAAATAATTGTATCCCCCCCCTCGCAAATTGGCGCGGGCTTTTTCCCTGGAAACTCGACTTGGAATCGGAAAGTCATTGTGAGCTCGCCAATTCGATACATCGAAACGATTCCCACGTCCCCCTTCCCCTCCACCTCCTGCCCCCCGTTCCGCCAAGGGGCGCGCAAACGCCGGGCAAACTTCCGGTGCCAAATGAGTTGTCACTTCGCACTTCCTCGGCCGGAGCTCCGCAGCTCCGCAGCGTGGAGGGGCCACCGTAAGGGACAGATTATTTGGGCAGGAAGGAACGGATCGACGCCCAACTGGTTTATCGCACTCCGACACCACTGCACTGCTGGGAGGAGGGCCACACACCACCAGCAGAGACTAGCTTTAATGACCGCACTTGAAAAGTTTGGCATGTGCTCCATGGAGAGGGTGTGGACTGTTGTTCAGTCGGGAGGCAAGGTGGAGGTAGAGACAGGGAGGGGTGTTTCAAGGCCAGGCTGGGCTGTGCACTGTGCAGGCATCCAACCACCTGGTTTGCTCAAGGCTTCAAAGAGGTAAAGGGAAAAGGAGAGGGGAGGTGGCTGCAGCTGTGTCTCTGGGCTGGAACGGCACCCATTAGACTAAGAGAGGGCAGAAATTTATTGGCCGGCAGATAAAGTCGCCCTTTCGGGGAATCACCAAATCAGAGCACTGTAAACCGAAGCACTTTCTGAATTGTTGAGTTTCCAAAGAAAATAATTGACTTACACACCAGAAAAAGTGTAGGTGGCGTCGTCATTCAGAACTGAACCTGCAGCAGCGGCCCAACCCTTTCTTCCACAAAGTCCCGCCGAGCTCTCTATCTCTCTCTTCCCTTCGGCGGGGAACATGGCGCGTAAAATTTCACGGCCCATCAAACCCCTTTGCGCATGATAATAATAAAAAGGAGCGCAAAGAGACAAAAACTGCTCACTGCGCGGTGCTTGGGGGCGCGCCATTCGCTATTTGACAGGGGATTGAGCGTAGTTGGGCGCGCCGCCGTAAGAGTGCGCTAGGCCCTTACCACTGCACCACTGTTACCCCCCGAGGGGCCTTTCCCCCCAAGGGGCCTCCCGCCCTGCCCGCCCAGCTTGCAGGCCTCCATGCCCGTGTCGTAGAGAACACCTTTATGGCCTCAGTAAAGGTGCACTTATCACTGCGACCCCGCCCCGCCGGCCCCGCCCCACCTTCAAATCCCTCACACTGAGGCGCTGCTGCCTGGTGGCCGTGGTGGCCGTGGTGGCCGTGGTGGCCGTGGTGGCCGTGGTGGCCGTGGTGGCCGTGGTGGCCGTGGTGGCCGTGGTGGCCGTGGTGGCCGTGGTGGCCGTGGTGGCCGTGGTGGCCGTGGTGGCCGTGGTGGCCGTGGTGGCCGTGGTGGCCGTGGTGGCCGTGGTGGCCGTGGTGGCCGTGGTGGCCGTGGTGGCCGTGGTGGCCGTGGTGGCCGTGATGGCCGGGCTGGTGGTGACACACCTCAATGCCGGCAGCGTGCGGTGACAGGCCGAAACCAGGTCGTCGACGCCAATCCTACTTCACCGCCGTCGCGCTGGCGCCCCCTCCCCTCCGCTCCCCGTCCAAGGCATGACCCTCACCGCGGTGGCGGTAAGCCGTTCTGCCGTGAAGTCGCTACACGTCTCCGCGGTATTACGGCGACAATCACCACCCATCATCCCTCTCGGCCGCCGTCCCGGCCTCTCGCACGGGAGCGGGCCCTCCCCTCCCTTTCTTGCGCCTGATCCTCCCCGTTCCCTCCTCGGCCCCCCTCGCCTACATCAGCCCCGCCGTCGTCGTCCCGTCGGGGGTAAGAAGGTTCCGAGGATATACAGACCGCTATAGACGGCCCCGGGTCGGCCCCACCAATAGGCACGAGAGGAATAAAACATTATTCGTTGCGTGTGTGTGCGTGTGAGCGTGTTTGTGTGAGAGAGTGTGTGTTTGTGTTGGTGTGCGCCTTGGTGCGTGCGTGTGCAGCATGTCGGCGTGTCGGTGTGAGTGGGGCGGGCGCCGACTGTGTGTGTGTGTGTGTGTGTGTGTGTGTGTGTGTGTGTGTGTGTGTGTGTGTGTGTGTGTGTGTGTGTGTGAGTGAGCACGCACGTCCCTCGTTATAATGCTTGCGGCACGCCCACATTTCCTTCGCTCACTGAAACTGTCCCTGCAGTCGCGGACGTGTGAAATTGTTATGTATTTTCGGCGCAAAGTAACGCGTTAATTCACTGAGAGAGAACAAAACTTGCGGGCCGAAATAATTTTGTTTTGTAGGCCCGCTCTACTATTTTCCAGAGCAGAATGCAAATCTGCCTGGCAGTGTAGTACTTCCACGGGCAGACCGCTTCGTTCTGTCACTGTGGGATACTTTATCAAAAAAGGCCGACCGAGGCCTCATGGAGGAGCGTGTGGCCACACAAACCCATTTTTGAGCAAAAACAGAAAAATAAAAAATAGAAACAAAAAGCGAGCACGGGGAAAGGGGTCTGTAAAAATGTAGAATGGGAAAGCCGCGAGCGATAACTCTGCCGAGTGTCACCACTCCTGACCTCCATTTAACTTCTGCCCCCAATAAATATTATTCAACACATCGTTCTCGGTCGTTCGCTGTCAGTCGCTGACGTGTGACTTGCCGAAGCAGCCTGATCATCACCACAAACAAATTTTCAAAAGCCACAACAGGTATCAAAAAACAAAAATATAATGGGACAAAAAATTTTTGAGAGTGTGACGCGCACCTTGGTCCACGATGAAAAAAAAATATTAATGGGCCAAAACAAGCAGAAATCAGTCCTTTGGGCCAATCACTGAGCGGCCGTGAGGCTGTTAATTTCCTCCACGTTCAATAAGCTTCTTTGACGTACACACACACACACACACACACACACACGCTAATACGGTGGGGCCCACAATAATGGTATGCCACAGTGCGCCCACCATCAAACGCTTCAGCTTTTAACCTCTCGGCCGCCCCATACCCCGCCCCGGCCGTACGCGGGACAAAATGATTGCGCGGGGCTGCCTGGTTCCCCGGTTCCCGGCTCCCTGGACCGGGCAGGGGCCTGGTCGGGCCGCCCGACTAATCATTTCATCATTAGGGCCGAGGTGGGGTTGGGGCTGCGGGGCCCTGGTTGGTCCAGAGGCCTGGGTGGCGCCCCGAAAATAATCCCCATAACAACTCCTTCGTTTTGAAATTTTTTCAAAACTGACCGCGGTAGCAGCGTGTCTATTCGTGTGGAAATAGTGAGGAAGAGACAGCGAGTGAAAGAATAGTCACTGCTTTCAATCAGCTCATCATTGACGATTGCCAACGCGCAAAAGAGTCCTCTCTTAAATCAAGAAACTCGCAGCAAGGGACTTCACTCAAGTAGCTTCACGCTTATTGCAAGTAAATGCTCTCGATTGGAAACAAACAACTCTTTTGGGACGTAAACCGATCCCTCATTCCGCATGGTGCCGAGACTGTGGACGAGACCTCCTGACAGGGCGAGGGCGAGGGGGGCATGCGCGAAGTGTCATGCGATACTTTACCCGGAAACAAACCTCGAAAACCACACTCTTGCCGCCACCCGCACACCGACGCCCACACAGACTCGCGCACTCACACAGACCCATCTTCGTAAGTGGGCCGCCGAGCCGTCGACGCTCCCTGGCAGACTGCCATTGACTGATCACTCCTTGTTTCCATGGGGTGAACTCCTGGAGGCTCGAGCAACCCCATCGAGACACCCCCCTCCCCCTCTAAGTCTCCGCCTTAACGTATTCGACACGCAGAGCACACAAAGTCACGGCGGCAAAAACCATCCCTGGATTGGCGGGGGGTGGGGGGGGGGGGGGAGGAGGAAGGGGTTGGCAGCGGGGGGCAAAGTCTTAAGTGCTGTTAGATACGGATGTCCGTGCCAAAGCCCCCGCTCCCTCCCTTCCCCTGGCCGACCTCGCCGGCGTCCGGCCTGATCGACGGACCCAACTCGCAATTTGAGCCACCCAACTGCGATATTGTTCCATCCGCTCCAACTTCCGACTGCCGACAGGCGATGAGAAATGGCTCCGCCTTGCGGCATTATGCGGACACGTTCCGCGTGACGTGGCGTCGTGGCGCGGCGTCGTGAGGGCGGCGGTGATGCGCTTCTCCTTTTTGCCGGCGGGTAGGTTGGTACACCTGCCGAGCGGCGGGGCACAGTGGGCCAGAAGACCGGCGCAGGCGGCCAAAACTCTAGACGCGTTTTTAGCTCCAGAGTCAAACAGGACGCGAACCACACATGTGACCCCACCAATGGATTCGTCGTTCGGAGAGCAATCCATTGGTGGG